GATGTCATCATATTTGCGAATGCGAACGTGGATATGCTTACCATCGGTGAGACAAAGAGTACGCCGCCCAGCAGCGATACAACGGTCAAAACAAGGGTCACCTTGTTGAAGCCGTTTCCAAGAATATCGAACACACCGCTCGGCGCGACGCGTGTTCCAAAGACATCCACGCCGTAAGCAACAACCAGACTTGTGCTCTCCACAATAACTGGTGCTGTGAGAATGTCCTTGACACCCACCACGTTTCGCTGATGAGAGATGACTGACCGAGGGTCAATCTCGATGCTGGGAGTGTATTGTATGAGACCTTCAGCTTCCTTCTCAGCTGGAGTTGAGTCACGGCCAACCGGGCGTCGGGCGTCGAGGACCTGGCGAGCCAGGCCAGCGATGGAGTGGGTTTCGGGCAGGTAGCCAAGAACCTGTCGGTTTGAAATGCCTTGTCGCGTTTGTGTAACCGACAGCTTGTCGAGTGGCTGAGACAAAACATAAGCTTGCTCCTCAACCCAAGGCAGGGCGGGTCCAGTTGGTGTGTCAACAGGCTTGAGAGACGAAAAGTTAACAGCGTCACCAAGAGGGCCGCGGTCGTTGGGAGAAGAAGACTCGTAGAGGTCAACGATGACAATCTGGTAGCCTTGGATGGATCGCTTGGTGCCATCCTCAAGGGTGTGTCGGCCAAAGAAAGTGCAGGTGTACCAATTCTCAGCCATAGCACAAGAGACAGGCTTAGTAGCGTCGACACCAGCATAGGACTGGGCAGCCAGAACCTGACCTGAGACAGTGTCGAGTAGCTGAACGGACAGAGACGACTTGGCCTCGTCGATAGCAGCCACAACGATTGTGTTAGGGTTGAGGTACTTGTAGCTGACACGACGATCAGCCAAGACACGGCCAATAGAGGCCACAGGGTCGTGGTCAGCATGCTTAGCAATCTCCACGATCTTCTGACCACGGAAGAGCTGAAGTTGCCAGACCTCTTGCTCGGTGACCTTGTTGTTCTCCTCCACAAACTTGACACCCTTGAGAGTCTCTCCCTCACCACGGACAACGACGGTCTCGCTGGGAGTGAAACCGGCGGGAACAGGTCCAATCTCTCCGTTGACACCAACAGGAAGCAGCCACTTGCCAGCAGGGCTGTCGACAACGACAGTGCTAGAAACACGGGGAAGCGAACCGGCAGGCATCACCTCGACAACATCGCCCGTGTCGCTCTTGATGGCAACGTACTCGCCCTTGGCGCCACGCAGAGTGACCACACCCTCATCCTTGGCATAGATACCCTTGATCTCGAGAGACTCGCCAGGAAGTTGGGGAAGTACAGACTTGGACCAGATGACTTGACCCTTGTGCTCAGTGCTAAGACCGTACACACGACCACGGCGAGTCGCAAGCACAATAAGCTTGTTGAAGCCGAAAGTGTCGCGGTGCAGGCCCTCCTTCTTAGCAGCGGGCTCGCCACCAAAGATGCTAGTGATGATTCGTTGAGGGAGAGATGCGAGGTAGTCAGGAAGGTATTGAAGGTCGTCGATATGTCGTGTAACACGGTGAATGTAGGCAGAGAGAGGGTTGGTGTGAGCCTCCTCCTCAAGAACCTTGGCAAGGTTCTCAGTGCCAGGAATGTCAGCCCAAACAGCAGCGACAGCGCCGGTCAGACCCTCAGGTCGCTTCCAGTCAATCTCGCCGTTACGGACAAGAACCCAGTCATCTGACTTGGTCACAGCAGCAGCTCGGATAGCAAAGCCTTCAGTGCCAGGCTTCTTGAGGACCTCAGCAACGGCGTGAACAGCCTCGATATCGCCAGCAGGCTTGAAAGGCCAGCGAGCCAGAACAGCGTGAGACTCAGATGAGACAACAAGAATCTCATCCTCAGTGACGCGGGCGAAGTAAACATTGGCTCCGTCGGAGCTGGTGGAAAAGGCACCAGGGCCTGAAAGGTGAGGAAGTTCGTAGGCCTTGGTGACCTGGCTGCTCTTCAAGTCGGTATGATAGACCTCGGCCTTGTTTCCGGTCTTGGTTCGAGTGTGGACCAGGAAATGAGGCAGCGACTGAACGAGGTGAGGAGCGTGAATAGTGACAGCGACAGCATCGGAAGGCAGCTTGAGCTCTTGAGTCGTCTTGCTTCCCAAGACATTGACCTTGAGCTTGGTGAGGGTGCTGTCGGCCCATGCGAGGATAGGGGCGGCAGAGTTGCCCCCAACAAACATGACGTCCTTGGGTCCATGGACGTCTCCCTTAGTGCCAATGGCAAAGTCGTCCAGTCGTCCTCCTGTAAGGGTATCGAGCGCAGTAACCTTGAGGCTGTAGGAAGCAGGCGATCCGTGAAGGCTGATGACGTAGATCTTGGAGATGTCGGTCGAGACCTGAAGCGGGATGTTCTTGGCAACCTCGCGAAACTCCCAGATGACATTTCCCACAGTACCGTGGATACGTCGCAGAACCGTAGTGCCGTCCTCGTCATAAAGAACCAGAACATCCTTTCTCGAGCTCTCAGTAAGCTCTAGAATCTCCAGGTCCTTTACCTCGCCTTTAAACTCATTGTGCCACACGTTTCGCCCCGTTAGCGCATCCCACGCCTGAACTCGCGATCCATACGCCGCAGCAACCCAATGCTCACCCTCAGCAGCGCGCAAGAAACCACCGCCATTGGTTATATCATCCGCGATCTGCTGACGCCAAACAACCTGGCCATTGCTGGGGTTGACGGCGCCGATGAGACCGACGTCGCTGAGTGTGTAAAGGAGGCTCGCCTTATCTTGCTTTCGTGGGCGATGGAAGAAGGTGGTTTCGACTTGGGGGACGCCGAGGAGCGCGTGGTGGAAATCGATCTCGCCGACCTCGTCCTGGAAGACAGCGGCACCGAGGGCCGAGAGCCCCAGGAGGAGCAATGGTTGGAGTGAGAGCCGCATGATTATGGTTGAGGATGTTGTGCGGCTTCACGCTTGGGAGCTTCAGAGCTGCTTGCATCATGACGGCTAGCTTATCTGTTCGTTGCGCAATGATTAGTCATCGAGCAAGCTTAGGGTAGGTAATTTCCCGGTGTTGTCTACCTGACGATGTAGACTTACAAAAAGGAATAAATTTATTTGTTTCTGGGTCAAATCTTTACTCTTATTCTTGCTATCCCGTATAACGAATTGTGTTTTTTAGTGATCTTGGTTGTTGTGTAAAGCCAAAATATGATATGAAAACTCGGTTCACTGGACTTTGGGGGCTTTCATGTCAAGCATCCGATTTGAGCTGTAGATATCTAAACATCTTATGATCATATCATAGTCTCAGAAGAAATCAAATCACAATCTTATGGTTGTTGGATCAAACAGTCTTGGTAAGTTTGCACGCCAACCTCAATCATGAGACCGCCCCCCGCGTGTAAAGATCCCGTGCCACTCAGACAACCTCATGTCTCAAACCCACACTCTATCACTTCTACTATCTCCAATTCTCTGGCCAAAAACAAGTCTATAGAGACTGTCTCGGCAGTTTCTTTGTTTCAAACCACAGCTATGTCTTTCGATGCGTTCTCATGTAGTTGTCATGCGGATATACGCACAGAGATGCCATCATCGATATATCCGCGTGCAGACGACAGGGCTTGTGGACTAGGTGTATATTAATCCCCGAGCGGAAGAGAAATTAATAAATAAGGTCTATCAGTACTTGTCTCGATATAGTGCTCTTGATGATCGAGGCGCAACTAATGGTATACACAATGGAGGTCTGTCTTAAATCCCAGTGTCTTCGCACTGACTTACAAACAATAGCCGAGATCCCTAATTCCTTCATGGTCCACTACTCCTCTTCCCAACATAACTCTATCAGCCAGCGGTCTTCTAGTCCTAGCCGACCTTCGTACTATCTCCCGTCGTACTGCTCTCACAGGCGGCGCCTCATGGATCGACTCCCTAGTCCTCGCCCCCGGCTTGCATTACCAACAAGCATGCGATGACCTCGAACGTGAAGCCCCAATCGGCTTAATAGCGCTGTCTTCTCAAACACTCGGCGAGATACAATATGCCGTGAAGAACACTATGACTGCGAGTTATCTCAAGAGTCTTGTCAAAGATGGCGCTGCGAACATCATCACTCTCGATGTTGGGCTAGACACCCCTTGGGATGTAGTCAAAATCGTGGGCAAGGTCATTAGAAAACACAGGATATCAGATGAAGAAGACGATGATGAGGATCACGAAGATTGGGCTTCTCTCTCTGATGTCGACTGCCTCAGCCACCTCCTCTACCTAGTCAGCCCCCTCATAACATCAACTTCTATAGCCTTCATGGTCATATTCGAAGACTGGTGGGGCCTCGCCATTCTCCTCACTCTCGTCAGTTCTCGCATCCTCAACATCTGGGCCATAAAGCAACGCATGACGCACTCAGAATCCTGCCCCGAAAGTCTAACCATGACAGAATACACCGTCGATCTTGGCGGAGGACACAGCGTGCGTCTACGCGGCCCAGATGCAGACTTACAAGCTCTTGTTACTCATGCTTGGCTACGTACACAGTCGAGTCTGGAGGGTTATCTTGAGGCAGCGGCTAAGTTGATGGTGTACATGTCTGCCGCACTGGGAGGAAACATGACACAGGCTGGAGCGATTGTGCTCATTGGACTACTCCTTACCAGCGCCGCACTATTGGGACTCAGTAATGCACATGCACGGGGGTTCCGCATGCATGGTCGCTATGCGATGCCTCAGCAACCGAAGATGAAGGCTGTGGAGGTTCGCAGTAGTAGTCCTTCGGTGGGAGACGCACAAACCAGATTGGTTTAGTAACTCGAGTTGAAACAATCAGAGATCGAGCCATAAGAAAAGTTCTATACGGATATGTATAGTGAACCATATACTTTATTGCCTGTTGTCCGTGAATTCATTAGAACTGTCTCCCCTACATATTATACAATCTCCGACTCTTTCTGTTTGAGAGTTATACGGCCGTTGGCTCTTCTAGACCCTCTGATTTCTTTCAACCAGCATATCACTGGACCCATGCAAACCGTTCTAATCTTGCGTTGGTTCTTGTTGTGTTTGCTGTCCTTCCGTCACTGAGAATTCAGGAACTGCCGGGGCATCGATAGCAGGAGTCTCAACAATAGGAGGCTCAACAGCAGGCTCCTCTGACTTTACCTCTTCAGTCTTAACTTCCTCAGTAACCATGGGCTCGTCAGATGGTTCAGCTGGTACTTCAGGTATTAATGCTGATTCAGTGGGAACATCAGCCGCTGGTTCTGTGACTGGTTCCGCAACGGGGTCTGCCAGTGTTTCCGCAGGATGCTCAGTAGTAGATTCAGGAGCAGCCTCGGTGATAGGGTCTGCAGCAGTTTCAGGGGCAGATTCAGCAGTTGGCTCAGCGATTAGCTCGGCCATGTGCTCAGAGACGGGCTCAGTAGCTGGCTCGATGACAGCCTCTGCCGGCACATCAGCAGGCACCTCGGCAACAGGCTCTGGCACTGATTCGGTGGCCGGTTCAGCTGATGCCTTTTGCTTCATACTCTCGATCTCTGCATGCTGCTCATCAAGTTTATCCATCAAGCTGGAAAGCAAATTAGGCGATTCCTCACGAAGAACTTCTTCAACTGCAGGAGGAGCAGACTCTTCCTTGATTTCAGGTTGAGGTGTGGTAGGCTCCTTGGTTTCTTCTGGGGCAGGCTCGTCAACAGCCTCTTCCATAGTGGTATCTTGCACAGTGGTTTCAGCAGGCGGCTCAGGCGGAGGATCAACAACTGATGGAGCCGCTGTCGGGACATCTGTGATATCAGAGATGGGAGCAGTGACAGAGGCTGAATCATCGGGTTTGATACTATCCTCTGTCAAACCAGTCTCAGTTGTGATCAAAGGCGGCCGCTGTGAGACTGTCTCTTCGCCAGCGTGGATATCTGCTGAAGGCTTGACTTCGCTGCCAGGGCCAGAAGCGCTGGGCTCCCCAATGCTTCCAGGAGGCGTGGTTGCAATATTGCCAACCTCTTCGGGTGGAGGAGGTAATAGTGCCTCGCTGTCGGTCGGCTCCAACATGGGGACATCGCGATCAGTAGCAACCTCAGGAGCCTCTCCGACAATTGTAGACGGAGGCTCGGCTATGGTCGAATCCGCAGGTTCAACTGCAGATGCGGCTGCTAGTTGTGGTCCTGGCCCAAAGGGAGCATCTATAGCCGCCTTCAGGAGCTGTTCCTCCGCCGAACCATGCGGTTCATCATCCTTGGCGGGTGGCTCCAGCAATGCCCGTGCAATGTTCTCCTCAGTCAGTTCAGGCTCCGTAGGCTTTTCATCTCCCGCAGAAGGTGCATCTATCGCCGCCTCCAACAATTGCTCTTGATCCACCTCCTTGGTAGGTGAAGGCATAACCACGTTCTTAAGGGGGCTGCCTTCGAGTCTGGATCCACCAGGTGTGAGGGTGGTTGGAGGTGCCAGGCCCATAGGGTTCGGTGGTACAGGCACGGGCGCAGATGAGTCGGTTTGCATGAAAGTATCAGGCTCGTTGTGTTCAACAGGAGCTGGGAGAGTCGCTGGTGCTGGTTCTGGTGTAGGGGGTGGGATGGGCGCTGCTTCAGTAGCTGTTGTGGGAGTCGCATCTGTCATCTCGTGATCTTGTGACTTGCTGTTTTCACCGTTTGCTTGACTCTCCGTAGCTGGTGTTGCCTCGCCCTCTTCACCCTCGTCGCCTTCGTCATCATCCCCATCTTCATCGTCATCGTCGTCATCTGCATCTGGCATTGGACTATCCTGATTGGCAGAGTCTTCGCGTTCTTGTTTGATGGCCTATTAAAAATTAGCGATGGAGAACAGCACATCCAGAGTTTCCAACGTACAGCTTCTGCAGGGTTCTCGGGTTTAATTGGAACAGCGGGCACGACACCATCTGCTCCAGCGACGGGCGCCGCCACAGGAGCACCAGCATCAGGAAGAGGGTTTTTGATCTTCTTCTTTCCTCGGCCAGGACCAGCCTTGGCCTTTCTCTTCGGCGGTGGCGGCCTTCGTCGGTTGGGAGCAGGTGTTGTAGCAAGTGGTTCAGAGCCAGCAACAGGTGCTTGCTCAATCCGTGTTGAAACGATTTCGCCCTGAACTTGTTGACCATCAGATAGCGTAACTTCTTCTGTATACGGATTTCCGGCGGCGTCAATTCTCCTGACAGTCGCCCTTGTGACTGTCGGTCCTTGAACCTTCTCTTCCACCGTCCGACTGGCGATCGTCACGGTGTTCTTCTGTCGTTTCGCGAGATGTGATGTACCAGGCGTGTCGATATTACGAGGTAACTGCTTCCATACTTTCACGCTGAAACCTCGAGCGCTCGTGTCCTCTTCCTTCTTCTCTGGCTTCTCGGGAGCTGCATCGGCATCGGCCTCTTCTTCCTCAGCCGGCGCAGGTCTTTTATATAGTCTTCCGGATCGCGCAGCCGCCAGAAGTTCCTGGCTATGGGCTGGTAGTAGATGCGAATCTTTCGGCATGCCATGAGGTAAATCGATCGACCAGATATCATTCTGCTGAGTCTGTTCCTGCTGTTGCGGCGGCGCAACTTTTATCCATTCTTGTCGCCATTGTCGCACGGGAAGACCTTGGTTTAATTAGTACGCGTCGTAGCGTGCGATCAGTATTCCGTACCTTCGAAGTCATCGTGCTCGGCATATCCTGATCTGTTGGCGCGTCGCGTCTATACTAATTAGTCGATGGTTGCACAAGGGAAGCAGTGATTCACTCACTCCTGGCGCCATCGCGGCTGACTTAAGTGCGGTGACTCTTATGATACTATAGCAATGATATAAAGCTTTATTTAACGCGGATTGGACAGCGCTGTGGTCTTGTAATAATGTCGCCGTTGCAGCTTGGTTTACGAGGCTGAGTCGCGAGTCGCGATGGGCTTTCGAAGGTTGTCAGTTGGCCAATTGAAATTGAAGAGACCCGCTGACGTAATCTAACATCGAAAAGAATTGATGATGGCCATTGAGGTATAAATTAAGACATGAATACCTTACCCCATTAAAGCAGAAAGACATTATATGATTTTGACTTCCGAAACCCTGAAGTACTGGCCTATAAGGGTCTCACTGTTTGAACCTTTATGGAAATGTTAAAAGCTCAATAGCCTCATGTGAGGCTGACAGTAAGGTGTAAAAAATACAACAAGAGTATGGGTAAATATATTATGTTTAGGGAGACGAAAGGTTATTGATTGACCTACAATTCATTGATACCGTCAGTTTCGAAGTTTTAGTAAGAAATTCCAGTGGATGGTGCTACCCAAGCTCTGGTTGTAAAATGCTTGAAGATATGCAGGCTGACAGCATTTGACACAGAAACCAGATATTGAGAGCCAAATAGAATCAGAATTGAGATTCGCCATCTAGTATTCGAGCCGCATTGCCCATTCTCCAGTACCTCGAGACACCCCCGGGGCTCGCTGACGCCTTTGAACCTTTGTGGTATCCGATACATATACATTTATCCCCGTAATCATGCTACTGTACACACGAGTTGTCTCTTTTATCCTTTATCCAGTTATTTCGAGATCGTTATGGTCAAGTCGTTTAGTCGTAACTGTGTCAACTGTCAGTGGTGAATGGTGGCGATAGCAGCTTTTTACATACCCCTGCTCCTTCTGCCTCAAAATCTCTTGATTGTTGCCCGTCTGCTTGCCCTGATGCAGAGGTCAGTATGCTACATATGTGATCTCACTGGACCTGACTTACCGAGATTCCTCCCTCAACAACTAACCGGTCCAGTTGGTAGAACTGGCTGATGACTGTTTGGCGCTAATTTCCGTCAGCACTTCCCCTCACGATGGCATCGTTACCACGCACCTTCAAACTCTGAAGCTCCTTGATCCCATGCTGCACCAACTCCTGCACCTTTCGGCTATCCTGCTCGCCCTGATGCTCCCTGAAAGCATCTCTCGTCCGTCGCTTCGCATACTCTCGGAAGTTGTACGCAGCGAACTGCGAGCCTTGCCGTAATAATTGGCGGTACTGGTTAAATTCCCCATCAGCAATTGTCGATATCAAGAGTGCACGGCGATCTCTGCAAATTTGGGTGGCCGCAATGAGGGGCAGAACTCACGAGTGATCTGACTTGTTGCGGCATGTCGCCTTTGAGTGTACCAACGACAGACATTTGGTGTATGTTGTAGGTTGGGGAAATCGACTAGATTGTAGATTCGCGACGGCTTAGAAAGTATCCGATGATGCAAGGCATTTGACGCTGCGAGCTCGGTGTTAGTCGGCGCGGAGAAATTTGCCGCTCCGGCCGGTCTTTCCGTCAATCTAATTCGTACTGTATTGAGCCAGTATTTAGCGGTATCGAGCACAGTGCTCGAAAGGCCACTGCTGTTCGGCATCATGCTCCGTGGATATCGGTGTATTATCAATCATTACGACATGCATTTATGATAGAGCTATTGGCGCATTCATAAGGAAATCAACCTTGGTTCATGTCACTTTACAAGTGATTTGCTTACCGGAGAACTATGTATCGTGGTACGTATGCCAATAACCCGGCATATTGAACAACATATAGAAATACAGGAAAATATGATCAAATCGGAGGTGATCCCTACCCTAGAGCATTGACATTTCACTTGACTTCTGGAAACATGCAGGATTGTATGATTGTCTTCTGTCTTCTGCACGGCAGAAACAAGTGGTTTGGCTGCTATGTGCTCAGTAAACAATACCAACTGAGGCTGAACTATCATTCAATGAATTCCTTGTGAATGTAGGGAACTTGGAACATAACTTTCAATCCACTCCATCCAGTACTCATATAACTTGTCCTTTTGGACCCATTCAGAACCTCAAAAGCAAAGCCATCTAGGCCATTCATGCAAAATCATATCATTCCAACTCACATTTCACTGATGCCTCACTGCTCACCGCAACTACTCCTATCCCTCGTATCCAATCCCTACGGGCATATCCGCCACCTGTTTTAAACCCTGAAGCTGAAAACACTTCTCCTTGCAGCGGGTTCTTGATCATGTCCGAGAATAACTGCAAGCAATGGGCTAGAACGCTGAATGTAAGCATAGAAACAGCACCGCAGTGATGATCTCTTCTCTCGCGCGTGTTGTCTCGGGCTTAGGAGCCGTTCCTGTCGGATGGACTATTCCGCGTCGTGGCGGTCGGGAGGTACGATAACAAGACATATGCAAGGGAATAAGAATGAACTAATGTCAAAAGCATCAGCGGTTGCATATGACGAAAAAGTTTCAATTTGGATGACGATAATGTTATGATCAATCAGAAAACCTCAGCTGGCTCAGTATCGGGTAGTGTCATTTCCCCAGCAAATACACTGCAAGTCCCTCCCGATATGGTCAAGTTTATTTAAACGACAAGCCCGTTTATCGGATCTGGGAGACGATTTTACCTAGTGAAGTGGCAGATGTTACACTCGCAGAGAGTCTCGGAACCCCTTGCATGAGAACCCAAGACTAGTGCCCACAGCATTTATCATCTGCATGAGAGAATCCCTTGCGTTAAGCAAGAAACGAAACTGAAATGCAGCCACACTTCGCTGCAAGAACTTTTTCACTGAGATGCACGTTACTCCGAACCGGTGAGATGCAACTCCAAGTGCGGGTTATGGCAGCCACCACGAATTCAGTCTCCAAACAGGGAAGTAAAGTTGAAAATGCTTCTCCCAAGAGAATGTGAGTTGTGACACATGTGCAACCTGCTGTACGCTTTGACATATTTCTCGGGAGGACCAAGTTGGAAGGAGAAGAGTGAACGAGGCCAGCAACGTGAGTTGTACAACTTGTAACATAGGACATGCTAACATATTTCACCACCACCCCGTACACCCCCCGACCCCGCATACCTTAACACTATTAACGCGTTATTAATATTAGCTACTTTATTTACTTCTATAAAATTTAAATTAAATCCTTTTTTTTTTCTATTAATAGAAATAAATTTACAAGTATTAGATTATAAATATAGAATAGTATTAGCTATTAAGGACTAAAAATTAATAAAATTATAACCTTTAGCATAAAAATATTTAATTAAGCTATTAACTTTAAAGGATTGTTACGCTAGAGCCTAAGATATTAGAATAGTATATTAGAAAGACTTATTACTAATAGTTATATAGAAGGAAGACCTTATAAACTATATTATTAAAAGAGAATATAGTTTTTAGCTGCTAATAAAGCAGGAAATATATAACTTTATATAAGCTTTAGTAACAGTTAATAGGGATATCTTATATTTTAGTAAGAACTAGGTTAATAGATTTGTATTATGCTATAAGATAATAGAAATAAAGCTATTAAGAGTTATAGATACTGTAAGGAAGTATTACGTTATAAAGGAGATATTTACAGAGTACTATAATAGTCTTATTTATATTATTAAGTTTAAAAAGATCTTATAGTCTAATTTATATAATGTTAATAAGACTAGGGTTTAACTAGGGGAAACTAATAGCAAAACTGTAATTAGGACTGTTATAACTTCTAGTTTAGAGTGTATTAAGTTAAATAATTTAACCTAGAGCTTGGTTTTAGAGTTTATATTAGTAGACGGTTAGTATCTAACCTTAACTGTTGTTTTTACTAGTAAAAACCTTTAAAGATAGTGGTTTTTAAGCGTTTTCCCTGATTAGAAATATATTATAAGTCCTTTAGGTTAGTTTAATACTAATATCTTCCTTAAATAGTTTATAGAGGTATTTATACCTAAGACTATACTATTAGACCTATCTTAATAAAGACTTCTAGTCCTAGACTAGTATAAGTTATATATAATAGTAAAACTAATAAAAAAGGCTTAGTTAAATAAGATTTAGCTCTTTTAGTTACCCTTATATTCTTTATATATTATATAGTTACTTAATATTGCTATATTTAGGCTATTAAAATAGTACTATTACTAGTTAACCCGATTTTAGGCCTTATATAAAGTAATATTATTATATTAGTAATAACTATTCTTAAAAGCTTATAAAGAGGCTTCTTAAAAAGCCTTAACTTAAAGGAATATTTTAAGTAGCTTTTTAGCTACTAGTCTTTTCCTAATTAATAAATATTAAAAAGGCTTTAAAGTTATTAAAGCCTAAGGAGAAGAAATGCTAGTTATTTAAGGGGCCTATAATACTAAGGAAGTAGCAGGTAGTTAAGGAGACCTTATAGAGAATGCCTTAAGGAAGTTAAGATATTAAAAAATAGCTTTAAGAGGCTTAAAAAAACAGAATTTCCTTAATCTGTGACTTTAATTGTATTATAAGGAAGGTAATAAAGTCTATTAACTAGAAGAACAGTTAAATATAATACCTAGAAGAGAAAAAAGCTATACTTAAAGTATTAGTAGCAGTAAAAGCCCCTATAGGCTAAGTTCCCGTTTAATTTAACCTAAACTAAGCTTTTCCTGCAATTAAATAGATTATTATAGCATAAGATTAAGCTAAGAAGAATGTATTATATTAGGTTAAAGAAAATATATAAAAACTATATAGAAAAAAGCTGCTAAAAATACTAATAGTAGAGAGGATGTTTTTTAATTAGTATCTAAAATCTTAGAATAATTAAATAAATACTTATTGCTGTGTAATTAATTGAAGTTATCTACAGATTACGTTGTAAGGTTATTACAGGTGTGCGGGGTCGGGGGGTATACGGGGTGGTGGTGAAATATGTTAGAGCGTTGAGGCTGAGAAAAGAGACGGGAAGCAATATGAACGAATCCAAAACGAGGTTCGACTGTGGAGGGTTTATGCGTGCTCTCAGGAGATTACACATTAGAGTATTTGGGAAGCTAACTGTTGTAAGGGTGTGCGCTTGCGGCAGATATCTAACTAATCGGGTCTTGGAGTAGGTTGCAGCTGTTTATGATGGCCCGGAACTGTGCGTCCTGCCTAGCAAGTTCTTCGTCTTGTTGAGTCTCCGGTGGATTAGTTACAGATGAAATTGCTGTCTCAAGAGTTTCCGATGGGATCCCATTGGTCTCAAGCAGCTGATCGAGCTTTGTATGCTCCCCCAGATCCGTGGTAAGCTGGGCCGTAAAGTTGTACCGCTTTAGGCTCTGGTTTGGTTTCACAATGGATACCGTCTTTGTTGGTTGCTCAGTTGATAGCGGAGGTATGAAACATAGGTTGGTGACAGAAGCATTTAGATTCGCAACGTCTGTAGCATGGCCGTTTTCGGCCAGACTCCACCGTAGAATCTTGCCCTTGGTGTGTCCGGACAATATCGAAGTGCCGTCATATGTCAGAGCCAGGCATGATGGCTGTCCAACTTCTGGATCCGAAACAGCAAGCGGGGTGTTGATTTGCACGACAATAGACGGCAGCTCTGTGCTGCGGGAACCAAGCAACGGCTTGTCGCCACCGAATAGCTCGACAAGGTAGACAGCACCGGCCTCAGAAGACACGAAGAGTGCCCTGGCACTTGGGTCCAGACGGGCGCAGAGAGGGAAGGCTGGGAAGAGCAGTGTACGGAGGAGCTGACCGGTCTGGTAGTTCCAGATGATGCATGTCTTGTCTTTACTGGCGGACACGCATATGCTAGTTTCCGGGTTGGTGCCAGGACCGACAGTTAGACTTGTGATAGCACCACGATGGTTGGAGAGGGTTAGATCAGGCTCTTGTTCTGCTTGAGCATCGAGCTCCAGAAGTCGTGATATCGACCAAACGTTGATGTTTGAGTCATCAGAACCGGACAGGATGTGATATGGCGTCACGGGACATGGCAAGGTGGTGTTGACACTAGCCGGCCTGTACACGTCTATATCACTTGTCAGTATTCACATTCGACGACAGTATCACGCGTATAAGGTAGCACTCACAACGGCGTGAGTGAGACTGAACTAACCTCCCAGAGAAATAGTCTGCCCTCGGTAGAGCCCACGACTAACACTTGGCCAGCAAGGGCCAAGCTGCGGATCCTCTCAGGGAACGGCACGAGAGCCTCCTGGTTGCCGCGTATACGCGAGTAGACGTGGACATGTGCCTTTTGGTCTTGTGCCGCGAAAATATGAGACTCACTGACGGCTAGACCGTTGACAGGGGTGGAACTCTTCTTGAAAGATGCCTTGATGGTGTGGGATGGTGTGAGGGAGTGAGAGTAGATGCCGACGTCCTTGGAAATGGCTGTGTTGGCAGCGAGAGGAGGACCGCAGATGGTCGAAACGAATTCTTGGGTCAGCATTGTCTTTGGCTGCCGTTGACGAATGTCTTTTTCGGATTTAATGAGATAGTTTTCACCAAGAGGTCTGCTGGGCTTTTCAACTAAGGAATGTTTGTTGGCCCCAGAGTCGTGGTAATGGTTGCTGGAAAGCGTCCGAGAAGCCGGGATCAGCCAATTCGCAAAGACAGTTGGTCCTAAATCCCGCAATGGACCATGCGTTTGGGAGACTAGAAGTGTTGTAGAACAAGCAAACAAAGATGGTGCTTGTGGTGGTGTACTCCGTAGACTGAAGCGAAATAGCGAGCAAAACCAACAGGCACTTACAACTGCACCTAAAAATCTAGGTGGTGTTGTTTAGCTGACCAATCAGAGCTCGTCCTTGACTTTTTTCTCCTCAATGGCTTTTTTTCTCTTCGTATTGTGAAGGGTCCAGGTTGGTCCAGGTCAAGTTCTAGGTCTAGGAACTTTTCAAGACGAGACCAGACGGGATCTTGGATGAAGGAGATCTAATGTCTCTGGAAAGGCCGAAACAAAATTGCTGGGATCGTTGCAGAAAGAACTTTTCTTTGTCTTTGTTTGCTCAGTCGAAGCACACAAGCTTTGACCCTTTCTTTTCTTTTCATCTGCAGCCGCAAAGTTTTGATTGCTTTTTTGGTGGGTCCCGCCCGTTCTATTTGTGCCAAATGCAGCCGCGGGCGGTGAGCGCCTGATTTAAGAGACTATTAGCGCGGTGGACAGTGCACGAGTCCCCTAGAAATGTCACCTTGTATCCATAATTCAGGTACCATCAGCGATTGATAGATCCTATTCTCCGGCTTCAGCTTGAATATTGGCAATATTGGCAGTAGCTCAAGTTGGAATCGATTAAAGGTGTATTGAATTGTTGCTATCGAGGCTAGATCGAAGCCAGCTCACAAGCAGTCAGAAGTATCGACTCGGCTGAGCTCCACTGTCTTACCTGCCACCCACTAACTTCCAGCTGTTTCCTCTGAATCTGTACTGAAGCTCCCCAAAACAGTCCCTGTCTGCTCCAAACTTAATTGCTTTTTGCTTCTCGCATCATCATCGACCATCTCCTCTCCCTCGACAGTTGACATCACTCCCTTGCTTACAGGTGCTCCACTCTAACTACATGTCTTGCCGACCGTTACCACAGAGCATGGTCCTCTTTTCTTGTTCTTACTTCTGTTCCTCTCATTGAGAGTTAGCCTGCGGGCACTTATCACATACCAGACTAGCCCCCATTGTTTACCGGGTGATGATTTCAGGTTTGATCATTAAATTAACATAAACAACAGTTACAAGCAACGTTCCTAATAACTTAAGTTAGCTTATTCAATTCAAGCCCAACCCGCCGACTTATAAGTCAGGAAAAATCGCTATAACTTAAGGCTATAAAGGTCCTAACTTATAAGTCTATAAGTCTATATAGTAATATTAGTAATATATAAATACTTCTTATTTTTTCCTATTTTTTAGCCCTTTTTAGGATAAAAATAGGTTATTTAAAGTAGGATTTTTAGTATTAAAAATTATAATTAGTAAAACCTTAGTAAAACCCCTTACTTCCTTATATTAATCTCCTATAGTATATTAAAGAAGCTAGCTTTCTTTAATTATTACTAAATTACCTTTTTAATCTCTTTTTTAACTATATTTTTTTATAATACTATAAAGATATTAATATTACTATTATTAGTATCTTTTTTAGTATTATTAAAAATATTAGTAGCTAAATTTTTAGTTAGTTAAAGGCCCTTTATAATTACCTAGTAGCTAAGTAAGATTTCCTTACCTAAAAAAAGGTATTACTTTTAGCTATTAAACCTTTTAGTGCTTTACTATAAAAAATACCTCTTTATACTAAAGAAATAGGTATATAAGTATATACCTTATTACTCTTAGGTTCTTAATTATAGTTATACCCTTATATTAACTATACCTTATTAATATTACTATATTAGTATAGCCTTTTAGTTCTATAAAATATATAATATAAAGGGTAACTTTAAAGATAGATTATATAATATCTTATAGGCTTTTTTATTATATACTAAATACCTAAGACTAGCCTATAGGATCCTTAGACCTATAGGCAGTTCTAAAGAGCTATTTTTACTATTACTATAGCTTTTATTATAGCTATTTATACTATAAGCCTTCTAAAATACCTCCCCTATACCCCTAGTTACCTTATCTATTAAGAGCTTTTATTATAGTCTTTTTAACTAAATTATTACTATAGCTATGCCCCTTAATATTATTATATATAGCTATTTTTATAGCCTTTTATTAATACTACTTAAAATTATTAAAGTAGCCTTTTTAAAAAGTAAAACTATAGTTTAAAATTAGCTCCTTATATAATATAATAAAAAAAAAGCCCTTATTATAAAAAAGCTCCTTATAGCCTTATCCCTTATTAGCTTATCCTTTAACCTATAAACCTCCCTAAATAGCTATACTATTCTAAAAATACTTACTTATTATATTATAGTAGTAGGATTCCTAACCTATAATAAGGTTATTGCTTTCTAGAAGCTTAAAGGAGCCTATTTTAGTAAGAATTAGGCTATTATTATTAATAATATATATAGGTTATTTAAGCTCCCCTTATATAAGCTTAGCTTCTTTACTCTTAATAATATTAAATTAAATACTATATACCTTATAGCCCTTTTTTATAGGTAGCTAAGTTACTTCCTATTATATTTAATTAATAAGTAAGTATAAATTTATTAGCTTTAGTATTAAGGTTATATTATTAATTTTATAGCTAAAGCTTTACTTTTTACTTCCTAGCTTTCTACTTAATTTACCCCTAACTATATAAATAACTATAAGAAATTACAGTATACTCTAAGGGCAATAAAAAAGCTATATAATATTATTTAATTTATATAAAAAATACTATAATACTATAAGCTTTAATTATAATATATATATAAAGCCTATAAAATAAAAAATACCTTAAGCTTTAATAATATATTCTCTTATATTTAGCTATAGCCTAACTAGTAAATAAAATAGAATTTAATATTAATAATAATTAACTATACTCTTTACCTATAAACTATTATTAACTAATTCTATATTTATAGTTTAAATAACCTTAAACCTTTAAAAAGGATTTTAAAGAAAGATATTCTATACCTAAATAACTAGGCTTATTTATACTAAATTATAAGTATTTGCCTAACTAGTAAATAAAATAGAATTTAATATTAATTATAATTAACTATATCCTTTACCTATAGACTATTATTAACTAATTCTATATCTATAGCTTAGATAACCTTAAACCTTTAAAGAGGATTTTAAAGAAAGATATCTTATACCTAAATAACTAGGCTTATTTACGCTAAATTATAAGTATTTTATATCCCTTTAAGGAAAAGACTAAGAAGCTTAAAGGCTATAAGGAAGCTATAATTTTATTTATTATATATAGCTATATAAAGCTATATTAGTACCTTTATAATTACTACTATAGTCTTTTTATAGCTATAGCTTTACTAAGCTTTTTAAATCCTTACTTACTAAATCCCTTACCTTTTTATTCTTTTTTAATAAATTAAGCCCTGCCTTTATAAGTAATAAATAGTTAGGCTTATAAGGCTATTACTAATACTATAAATAAGCTATATACTTATAAAAAGAAAATTACCTTATTACTAGTCTATTAAGTAGTAATAATTCTTTATCCTAGTATATAGCTAAAATTCCTTACTTACTTAATTAATAATAAGATTAAGGTTAAAGTAATAATTCTTTATCCTAGTATATAGCTAAAATTCTTTACTTACTTAATTAGTAATAAGGTTAAAGTTAAAACTATTTATATATACTTTACCTTTTATACTAAAAATTAGGAAGTTAGGAACCTTTAATTTCCTTAATTACTTACTATATAAGACATAATCTTTTAACCTAATAAAATTAATAGTATTTTTACTGCCTTTTATATAAAATAAGTAAAGCTATATAGGATACTTATTACTAAGCTATCTTAGTATTTAATAAAGAAGGTTAAGTAAATTAGCTATAGACTAATTAAATAGTAAAAGTAATATAAATATACTTATTTTATATTATTAAAGATAGCTTATAATATCTTATATATACTTACTAAATTAGCTAGGGTAAAAAGGTTATTTAGTTAAGCTAGAATAATATTATTAAATTAATATTATAGGCTTAATTTAAAAGTAATAGAAGTAATACTTTACTTAAAAAGCTAGTTATAGAAAATAGGTAAGGCTATTTCTTATAGCTATCTAACTAAGATCCCTTAAGTTAGCTTATTTAATTTAATCCTAACCTTTAAAATATGCCCTAATTTAATTTACCCCCCTCCCTAACTCAAGCCCCTAAAAAAGCCGGCTTGAGTTAAGTTGTTAGGAATGTTAGTTGCGAGAGCCACTTTTACCTCATTCGATTTCCTGCATGAGAACGCATGGCCTAGGCTTGAAAGTGATCACTTATCGCCCAACTCATCTCGTCACCTTTCGCTTCCAGCACGTGCAGACGATAACCATGTGGTGACCGATAAGCGTAACGCATACACGCATACCTGACCCAGTTCTGATGATCTCCCTTACATCTGCGGACCAGGGACCCTCTCACACTACCCTGACTGTCTAGGGAAGGAAAGAAAACTCAGGACCTTGACCACAAGCGGTAAAAATGCTTAGGTAAATCTGGCCTAAGCTTAGAGGGATCTTTGCTCACTCTATTTTGACACCCTCTTTTCAGGTCTTGAGTTTTCTTGCTCCCTGAAGGCCTGTCAAGTCTGTCATGATCTGATCCCGGCCTGCTTGGGTTCTCCGCATCTCCATCCTTCCCCTGGCTATTTCTCATTATCGTCTTCCTGCTTACAGATCCGAGTCTTCCCCGGCGGAATCGCGTATCAACGGCAGCTCAGAGGAGAGCACTGCTCTATCTCGACCATTTCGGGGCCGAGACCTCACAATGGAGATCAGAGTTTAGCTTGCATACCAGTCTTTCGTTTCAGCCACGGT